ACTAGGTGGCGCAAAGGGACGGTTGACACCATTGCTCAATAAAGCTGGAATTGTGACATTTTCACTTGTAAATAAAGATAAAAATAATGAAATAAATTAGTGGTAATATTGGAATAATAGACTAATAAAGCATTATAACATTTAATCTCGAATTATTAATCATATAAATGTTTATTGTTCCAGCTGTTTGACCACTGTTATGGTGAAATAATACAGTGACAGCAGTGCAGCTTGAAGTGTACTTACTTTTTACTGTACAGTACCAGCCAGTATTTTAGATTACTTCTTTGAATGTTTAGATTACATTAAAAGAGGTGACCATTATGCCATAAAAAAATGAAACGATACAAAAGGTGGATTATTGTTGCTAAGAGGATTATGAGTGATGTAGGCCTAGTTCTAACACATATTTTGGCATCGTCACATTATTGTCACAAATGAAAGTTTTGAAACTTACTTTTAATAATTCACTGACACATTTCAGCAGGTCACGCATACTTATGCATATTCATTATCTGTCCTTTTTTGACGCATCAATTCCCGCAAACAGAGCCCTGCTCATGACATGCCAAAAATCATAATCTCAATTAATTAAGAAATTGTTGATCACTTTTTATTCAATTGTTCCTCTGTATAAATTAAAACATGTTTAAATAATAATTAAATCATGTTTTAACTAACAATAATAATAAAATGCCTAATACATACCTTTTACTCGTTCATTCATTTTTTTAGGATATTCACAATTTAACTAAAATGATGGATCTTAAACCAAGAGAACGAATTAACAAACCCAGGAAGCAAATGGGGGTTCATTGCCTTGCTCAAGGGCACCAGTCGTGGATTGAGGGTGGAAGAGAGCGCTGTTCATTCACTCTCCTCACCTATATTTCCTACCAGTACTGAGACTCAACCTTCAGGTTACAAGTCCGACTCTCTAACCATTAGGCCACGACCCCAGCCAAAGAGACCCAGGGTGTACATGAGAGAGAGACAGAAACGCTGCAGTTCCTTTGGCAATACAAAGGTAAAAATATATCACATAATAAGAATGCTGTATTTCACATTTTACATCAAATTGCACAGGGAATACATGCAACCCTGTAATAAAACTGTCCAGAGACTTCATGTAATCAGTTTAAGTTTCAGTATTCTACTAAATATATATATATAAATAGCTTTAGTAGGCTATAGAGCTTAAATAGGCCTATTAAAACTAAAATGACAAACTAAAATAAAAAATACAAATTCTAAATAAACACACATAAGTACTAAATTTGCTTCAGTGAATATGAATTATTTTAACTACAGTGTTTTTCTTTGATTTTCTGCCGACTGCAGCCATCAAATATAACCCATCGGCAAGGCAAAGCTGACTGCTATTTGTGAAAATGCGCTTTGACGCATTCGCTTGATAACTTGAGGTTAAAGCGCCACTAAGGCGGTTGAAAGCTGCAAATGCATTTTGCAGACACGGAGGCGGCGGTACCCGCGGTGGTAAAAAGCTCATTCTGGTTGAGTACCATCTGTATGTGTCACATTAATCATTTACTGTTAGTTTTAATACTTCAATATAAGCTGTTTCTGTTGTTTGCATGTGTCAGGAAGTACAGGAGGTCAGTGTTAGGCCTACTAGTGGAGTGATAAAGATGGTCAAATTCAGTTCAATCACAGTTTTTGGCTGGGTTTAAGTTGTTGTTTACATATAAAAAGGCTTACCCTGCATTATTGCTGACTGCAGTCAGGCTCTTAACTCCTGTCTTCAGCAAACTGTTAATCAGATTTTCTGGAATACCACACAGGCCAAAACCTGTGAATGAGAGGAAAGGATATTATAGAAATTACAAAATGGTTGGCATCAGCTATTTATCAAGGAGATGTCTATTTATCAAGGAGATGTCAATAATGCTGTTGTAATATAATATAATATAATATAATATAATATAATATATACAATAATAATAATAATATGTCATTTAAAAATTCAGTACAAGTTTTTGAAATACATTAATATATTTGTTCAGCAAGGACAACTTAAATTGATTAAAAGTGACTATAAATGTATTACAATGTAAATAAATACAATTCAAATATAGGCTAAATAATACCGTTTTAATAAGAAGAAGAATAAAGAGAAGAAACGCTTCTTGAACAACAAATCAGTATAACAGAATGATTTCTGAAGGATCATGTGACACTGAAGACTGGAGTAATGGATTACCTGATGAATTATTTTTGATCAAATAAACACAGCCTTGCATAAGAGAGTACTTTTAAAAACATTACAAAAAATATATTACTGACCCCAAACCTTGTGAATGGTACTCTAAGTAATAAGCAGACAGTTACTGATAAAGGATGAGTTGATGATAAATCATAACTCTCTTACCTCCCACAAGAATAGTCGCTCCATTAGGAATATCCTTAACTGCGTCAAGAGGGTCTGAATAAAGTCGCCCGGACCGTTGTCTTGAAGTGGAAAAATAACAGCAACACGTCTGCCAACAACAGACATTTAGTAGAATGAATGAAGCAGGCTGAACATACAAAAACACTACAGGCAACAACTTCAAAGCATTCATGAAAGAGATTTACACACTTCAGTCAGTGAATCTGTACTACAATGGAAATCCTTTAAGCTTCCTTTCAATCTCCTTTTCCATTGAATAAAATCAAGTGTTTGTGCAATTCCATATAAGTAGTGAATTGAGGAATACAGCCTAGTGCAATACAAACACTATAAAGATCAGTGGTTGACTTTTCCATTCACGAGTACTGCGCCTCTCACGAAGTTAACCATATACAATGGAATCCTAAATCATGCATAGAAAATAAACATCAAATAAGATCTATTTGTCAGTCAACTACAGTTTAACCATTTCCCCATGCTGACATGCACGTGCTAAACAAACCCCGGGAGTCCAGCCAAGACGTCCATTTCATTTATATCCTTATTTGTTGACACAACAGTGCGTGTTTGACCTCACAAATGCTCCACCAAAGGACAAGGAGAGGAAACAGCTGAACACTTATTACTCGGCCTCAATAAATAACTCATTTGCTTCGGTTTTGTATATATGGCAGCCTTAAGCAGTATTACCAAATAATAGATAGACAAAAATACTGAGTTATAGTAGTGATCCAAAGACCATAATATCTCACTCAACAACGAAACCACGTATGACCATTACCACTGTTATTCCTTGAAACAATCATTCAAAGGTTTCCGCTCTGACTGTATACAGAACAACTCCATGAACCTCAGAGGCACATGACACTAGCATGAGATTGTGTCATAACTATATGACTGCAAAACCCAGGTTTAGCAGTCTGGGTCTGGAGAATTCCTCTCCTTGTTCTGAGAACTAGTTATTATAGCAGTCTAGTTCACATGTTGTGTGATATAAAAAGCCAAAACTGGTGGGTGGAACAAAAGGGGAGGCATGTGAGTAGGAGAGAGCAGAGTTGGGTTACTGTTAACCAAGGAATAATGTTGGCAGTGCTGTCAAGTTAGTTGTCCTAATTTTAAAAACTAGCATTTTCATGGAAGTTATTGATAAAATCTGTGATTTATGCCTCATGACAGTAATGCTTAGTGACCATGTGTTTCCAGGTCAACAATAAAACAAATACATGAAAACATGAATGATTGGTTGCTACTCTGAAAATCAAGGACAAATGCATGCTGATGGTCTTTAAATGGTTTGCTAAGAAAACACAATGCAGCACAAAATGACTAGTTTCACTAGTCTCTGTCTGAGATAGATGCAATTACACAAGCTTTTGACTTCAAGTAATAAGCGTTGCAACACATCATTCTTTTAAACTCATGCACACACATCATATATATGATTATATATAGCCTTCTAATAAGATCTGCACGTCTATCTTATCTATGCAATGGAAAGTGGGGTTCAAAAAGAGGCAAAAACAGAAGCACCTACACGTTCAACATCGCGCAAAATTTCAGATGCACCGTCTTTTGTTAGTAAACACTGACCTTGCCAACGGAGAATCGCGAGATGTTCGTCTTGATCGTCGCTGTCACGTTCCTGATGATCACATTTTCCACTCTAGATAGCGCTTTAAGAGTCGCCATGTCTGCAAATTACAGGCCTAATATTGTGTGTAGTGAATGATGGTGACAGTATGCCCTCGTTGATCTCAGACAGGCGGGGATGAAGTAAGAGAAGGACTGTCGGGGGCTCGATTTGCTTATTTGCATTTAACCCTCTCACCACCATCTAGCGATTTCCGATTCATGAATCGGATCATTTTTAATGTGTCGGATGTTCCCCATACCAGTCAGAACGATTTGTTCACGAATCGTGAATCTTTCAGAGTGGTTCCAGATTGAACAAGGCAGCTATTTAGTACATGTCCCAGTGATCCATATTATATTATATTATATTATATTATATTATATTATAAGAAATCACTAGATGGTATAGTGAGAGGTAGTGCAGCCTTGATCCAGCTCATTAAAGCATTTAGAACCTAAACATTTTTTTATTACTTACACTAAAAAACAAAAATTAATGTACATTGTTTGGCTATTTTTAAATGATATTTAATATGTGTGTCGTATTTGTGCTCAATATCATATAAAGAGAGCCTACTTGTGCTTTTTAAAAATGTTTTTTAAAGTTTTTTTTATTTAAATAAATCTTTTCTATATAACAGAATAACAACAACAACAGTCAGGGAAAATTATTATTATTTACAAATAAATCAATTAATAAATAAATAAAATGCAAATACAACTAATAAAAATACATACATAAAACCCATAATAACAGTAATTATCAAAAGTAAATGACATAAAAAGTAACAGAAAAAAATGCTAATCGGTATCATTTTGAAATAGGCACAAGCACAACATGACACCACGTGATGGCATAATTACGTCATAACCTAAAATAATTGATGAATCTTTCTTTGAAGTGACTCTTTATAAAAACAACTGTTTGAAAGAATCGATTCGCGGAAATGAGTCGGACTCCCATTCATCACTTCTGCCAATATTTCAATCCACTGTTATCAAACACAGAGTATTATGGGAATAATTTGGATAAGGGTGGACAAAGTAAGCTCTTACTTTGATGTAAGTGCCAGGCGTGAAGAATGAAATGAAAGAACAAAACATCCTTGTAATCCTCGCACGTGAGTAATCGCGCGCTCGTCACGTGACTGTCGTTTGCAGTCATGGCTGACGACTACAGACGAAGCGTCGAGCTGGAGAGGAGGATTTTTGAGTTAGATAACAAGTGTGCCACTCTTCGGACGGAGAAACCAGGTAACCGGGAATCATGTCGTCAGTTGCGCAATACCAGCCTCCCGTTATTTTAGAAAATGCATGTTCAGTGGCAGAATCAGCCCGGTGTTGTTATCGTTAGCTGGTTAGCTTAGCTGCTCTGCGTTAGCATTCCTACGAATCACAACAAACATTTTCCTGCCCATCTGTCACCCCGTTTATACGACATATGTTTGACTAACTAGTTCATACGAACACCGTAGTACTTATACTAAACTGCAAGCTAATGTAAAAGGTAAAGCACGTTTATTACGTTCTGTAATTTTTCACATTTGTGGCTAGCTAGTAACGTTAGCTAGTAAGATCCAGTTTGCATAAATTGAGTGAAGTCGCATGTGGTCATGCTATGATACCGAACGCGATGCACAAATAATATAAAACATACCATACGTCGTTATAGTTATTCTGCAATGTGATATTACAACCTCACATTAAATAATATGGGAGATAAATAGGAATTGAATGGCCTGTCAAACACTTTTAGCAGAATTATTCAATAAGTATTTTGCCTACTTCAGTCAGACAAAAGGTTACGTTAATATAAAACTAGCCACATATGCATGATCAAATGATCACATTTCTGTGTTATTTATTTACTTGTAGTCTGAATGATGCAGATTATTGCACAATTTTTGGGGTCCTGTAAATCATACTTCGTGTACACACATACTAATGCATTCTTGTTTTCAAATGCTTCAATTGAATGATTCTCAGCAGGGAGAGTGTAATCGGAATAAAACCGAGGACATACACGATGGTTTTAAAACAAGCTCTTTTCAGACAGTGCCATGTTGATTTTACAGAGCTAGTTTCTTAGTCGTCCTGATATTGAATGTTTTGCGATTTGTTTTATACCAAAAGCTGTGCTTTAGGTTATAGATTTACATTCATTAAAGTTGCTAAACAAGTGTAATATTTTCTATTTATATATATTTTTAAAAGCCTAAATCCAGAAAGTCATTTAGGGCCAATATTTAGCTGGAACAATCGCCTATATAACCTCAGCTGTTTTTCTTAGACCACCAACTGTAAACTCTCATGTTGTATATTCTCTATTAGGTATTAAATATTAACATTGTTGTTTGTTTTATTCCTAGATGATGACTACTTACAGAATGCATCTTCCATACTAGACAAGTTGAAAACCCATTATAGACATGGAGGAGAGAGCAGCAGCCTCCCTAAACTGCTGCAGGATTATACACAGGTACTTCACATAACACGGGTCTCACCCTGCAACATTCCCTTAAGCATAGCATAACTATATATTAACATGTTGAATGTGTGAATAATACAAAATTTAACAGGGTCCCATACATCCTTAAGTGTCTTGAATTCAGTTTCATCAAAAGTCTGAAGTCTTAAATATAATTTTAGGATGTCTTAAATTTGAGGCAATAAAGCAATAAGGCCTAATGCAATTGTCTTAAATTTGAGGCAATAAAGCAATATGGCCTAATAGGGCTGCACGATTTCGAAATGGAATCGAGATCGCCATTCGACAGAAGCTGCGATTGTCATGCGTATCTTTCAGTGAAGCACGGTTCTGTGATCAGCAGTAAATCTCCATCCAAAGGCCCCTAATGCAATTAATAAACTTTAAATTAAATGAATGAGAGCATTGGACGTTCAAAGTCCAAATATAGCACTGTTGCACGTTCTACAGGCTCGCGGTTTCAGAGCAGTGCAAAATGAACACTACACATTTATGCCAAGTGATCGCTCATTATTATTGGTTTTTAATATTGTTGTAGGTGGTTATAAGAGAGTACATTTTCTCATCTTTTTAAATTAGCCATTGTAAGTATTAAAGTGCAGACATTTAAAATCTAGAGTCACCGTGTTTTCGTGCTTATTTATAATTAAAATTCTCCTTATTATCCTGTTTTTTCTGGATATTATTGGTATTTTGGTTACACAATAAACTACATCTGGCATTTAATTTCACCCTCTTACAGAAAGGAAAGACTAAGAACATTATTTAACACATTCAATATGTACATTTTATTATTATCGACACAATAATCTTTTTAGTGGCTTTTCTTTAAAGGGGTCATATGATGCTATTTTAAAGATCATTATTTTGTGTATTTGGTGTAACAGAATATGTTGACATGCTTTAATGTTTAAAAAACACATTATTTTTCAAATACTGTACATTATTGTAGGTCCTCTATGCCCCGCCTCTCTCAAACACGTCGTTTTCAACAAAGCCCCCTCCTTTGACAAGCGCAGTCTGCTCTGATTGGCCAGCTGACCCAGTGCATTTTGATTGGCCGAACACCACAAGCACGCGTCGGAAATGTAACTCCCCTTACCATAATCGCAGCTTCAGCTTTCAAAGTAAATATCCGAAATACCGGGTCTTTTGACAACACTAAATGTATATATTGAATAAAACATGTCTTTTTAAATGTCCAGCTATCATGTTTTGCAGGTGAATGTGTGCCCAGCCTGTTCAACTGAGTAAAACAATATGCAATATATGATTTATATTGTATGGGTGTATTGTATGGTTTTATGTATGGGTTTGTTCTGCATATAGTATTTTATTTGTGCAGGGCTTAGAAAGTCTTAAGTTTCTTTTTAAAAACACTGCAGATACCTTGTTTTAGATGTAGTGACTCATATGGCCCATTGTTTTACCTACTTTTCTACAGGTTGTCTTGGACATTACATTCTATGAGGAAAACAGGCTTGTAGATCAGGAGTTTCCTGAGGACACTTCCCCTTTTAAAATTCAGCAGTTACTACAGGACTTGACAGAGCCAGAGGTGTTAGCAGGGCGACTGGTACCTGCACAAGAGGTGTTGTATTTCTGTATCTTTAGAAGATCTTTACTTGGAACTATTAGTTTCATTATTTGCTGTTGATTCTAAATAAGGCATCTACTCCCACTGGTTAATATTTTTGGTTACAGACCACCTGTGCAATTTGGAAATGTGGCAATTTCTGCAGCAACTTTTTTTTATGCCATTGTATAATTTGTTGTTTGTTTGCAACAAAAGTGCATTCAAATTTTTTTGCAACTTTTTATGCGTTATAACACATAGCATAAGTAAATAAAACCTACAGGTCTATATTTTTCTAGTTTAATTGGCATAGACTGAATAAGATTAGAAAGCTCTGCTCTTAGTAACTGTAGTGTGTTGCGTTGTTTGGTATCAGGTGCAGTCTGTGTTGGGGCTGGAGCTGCTGGAGTGCCTATACTGGAGGCGTGGGGCATTATTATATATGTACTGCCACACACTACACCAACGCAAGCAATGGATCAAGAAGAACAAAGCCACTTTCCTTAAGGTTCTTTCTCCAACCTCTCACTCCACTGTGCCAGTTTTAGTGGCCATGACTTGAGTAAGTGTTGCAATGCTCCGTGTCTTCACAGTGTCTTCAAGAAGGTGTGCGTTACCTTATGAGAATGTTGCAAGTGAGGAACTCAGTCAAGCTGAACGATGGTGTGGTTTTTCATGACTCTGCAACCGCCAATTTTCTGGCAGAAGGTACATCTTTGCAAATGTACTTTCTGTTATAAAACTGAAAGACGAATGATTGATTTTTGTGGCGTTTCTAAGCTTTGTTTGTAATTTGGGAGCTGAAAACTCCAGACATGCAAGTCATTGTGCACACATTATGCACTGACTTCAGATTGTGTCTCGGGGTGTGACACATCAGGCATTGTGTCTCTGCTAGGGTTGTAACGATATACCGGTATGACGGTTTATCACGGTTTGAACGTGCATGGTTATCATACCGTTAACATTTGCATATCTATGGTTTAACATTTGCATATCTATGGTTTAAAAAAAAAATGAATGAAAAAAAATCTCACCCGCGCACATGCAACTTATTTCCGCTCGGCTGCTTCACTCTGCATTCACTTGGCTGCTTAATGTTACACGCACATGCAGCGAAGAAAATGACAGAGACAGATAATATCTAATCTCCATCCCCGCCGAAAAAAAAGTTAATATCTGCAGTATGGGAATACTTCGGATATTTAAAAAAAAACGAATGTGGGGTTGTCCTTGAGGAAGGATCCAATTTGCAAAAAATGTGGAAGCAAAGTGGCTGCAAAAGCAGGCAATACATCCAACATCTTCGCTCATATTCGCGGACACCATCACTCCGTGCAGATAAAGGTATGTCGCATTAATAACAAGTTATAAGTTAAGGCCTTATGATTTCCGTGAAGCAGAGGGAATCCCGGTGTAGTCGTGAACATGGAATTTACAGTATAATGAGGATGTCACGTAAAACATGCAATCGGATGGATGGATAAATCGAAAGTAGTTATGATATGTGTCTGTGAATATTAAAGCGTGGTGCCGTACTGAAGTATGCATACATAAATGGTGTTTTCAGCGTCTAAGATACATAAACATGAACGTCAGCAGAGCTGCTCTGAGAGAAAACGTAAATAAACATTTCCTAGTTTTATTTGAGAAAAAACATTGTCAAATACACTCTGAAACTCAAAGGGTCTGCTACAACCCGTCAAAATAAAAGTTTGATAAATATATTAGCATTGTACAATGTACTTCAAAGTAGGCCTGCGACAAACGATTATTTTGTTAGTCGATTAATCTACCTATTATTTAGTACGATTCATCGACTAATCATCGATTATTCCACTGATTAATCAGTAGACTTTGATTGATTATTCAGCTTTTGCAATTAGTTAAAATATTGAGTTATACATATTCTAACAAATAAATAAAGGTAATTACTTCAGCTTTTGAAAATCATATTATGTAATTACAATTATTATACAAATAAATGTATTTGGCCCAAAATGAGATGACAGACAAATAAACCATTTAGTTAGCCATATGAAAAAGTCACTGAATGACATCATTCTGCCTGACATCTCCTTTTGTAAGTCATATGGATACGAAACTAGATAGAGGTAAGTGATGAGACGCTTTATTTTTGGATAAACTATTTTATTCAAGCACAACCTTCACAACATAATCTCTCTTAAAATACCTTATAGAGTTATGATAATCAAAACAGTCCTGAGCTAGATCAAGTTTTGATCTCTGCAAACCAAACTATCACTTTAATTAAATAAAAAATGTCCCACTAATAAAAAGATTTTATCATTAGCTAGCTCCACACTGGAGAGCTCGTGCAAACATCCACATCGCTGTAATCAGATGCGTTTTAGACTGTTGCTTTCACACCGCGGTCAGTTTTTGTTGTGTTTATTTCGTTATTGAGAGGAAAGCGGGCAGCATATGTTTACATAATCATCCAAACGCCGCTCAGCATCGTCAGGTTCGGTTCTGCTGTGTTTGCTGCCAGTGTTGCCAGATTGGATGGACGATTTCCAGCCCAAAAGCTCACAAAAACCCGCCCAAAACTTTAACTGGCAAAATAATGTTATAGAATATGTAAATCAAGGTTGATAAGGGCCATTTTAACTCCTTAAAACAAAATATTGACGACAAAATAATATAAATTATAAATAAGATAAATTTCGCAGGTAAACGGATCAAATCGGGGCGAATATCTGACATTAAAGAGAATTAGGCTACCGAACATGAATAAAATATGCAAGCAGACACTGTCAAAACGGCAATCATGAAATTAACCGATACCCTCGAAACAACACATGCATGATTTTCAATGTCAGCAGTCAGAATAATCCAGTTTAAATGCAAAAAGTGCTCAATATAAGTGATAGGAAAAAGCAACGTAATTAGCAGGTATTTCACACTTGTTCATGCGCACACCATGACAGTCAATTCAAAACTGTGTCATTCATTGATACTTAATTATAATCTGACAATTAAAAAAATAACGACAACAATAATGCGCTTACCTTCGTGTCGCTCTATAATTTTACACAGAACTAGAGGAAGCCTCTTGTTAAGTTCATATTGTAGAACATAATACAGAACTTTCCACAGTCAAAACTAATCAAGTCTAGCAGTTTTCAAGGATTTATCAATCTGGACGTTTAAAAGATAAAAGACATGATCGTATAAACCAACATATTTAGTTTCGGTTATGATTAATTCAAATGTGCTCTGATTTCGGAGTTGCAGTGATAGAGCCTTCGTGTCATCTCACTCCACAATAATTCACGTTTTGAGAGTTGAGTCACTCTCCCACTCTTTACATTAGGGATCCAACGACTACTCGACAACAAAAAAATACAATTTATTTTTTTGTCGACAACGTCGATAATGTCGACTAATCGTTTCAGCCCTACTTTAAAGTTATAATAACAACAATAATAATATTCTTTATAATAACATTATTCATTTAAACATTGTTTTCAAGGAATATCATGTTTGTCCACGTTTTAACTTTGTCAAAAATAAAATTAGTTGTAAATTTTAATTTAAAAACATTTTAAAACATTAATTAAAATGTTAAAGTGTGATATAGATATACAAAAGGTGCTTTATTTTTTTATTGTTTTTAATTTATTCAGAAGGAAGACTTCAATACTTTCATTAAAATGGTTTCAAGTTTATTGTAATAAAGGATTTGTTCACTCAAATAACTTGTTCTTGTTCTTTTAAGAGTCATTGTTACTGATAAGAATTATTGTTTAATATATACTGTGGTAACCGTGAAACCATGATATTTTCTGAGACTATTATCATACCGTGAAAATATCATACCGTTACAACCCTAGTCTCTGCAGGAACAGATTTTCAAAGCACAAAAAGATTTACAACATTTATAACATCTCTAGCCAGCACAGCCAGTGGGTTATCAGCATCTTCAGATATTTAAGTTCATTTACGAAGTAAAGTCATTTTCCATTGGAAAGATGTGTAGCCTGCAAACTCCACCCCTAGTGCTTGCATTAATCTATAGCAACCAATAATTTAGAGATTGCTAGCGTTTTTTTTAAATGTACTGATTTGTACTGAAGTTCATTATAATTAACATTTGCTATATAATCATAGAACTTTGCAGATAATTTATTAAAGAGCAGGTCATATGGTATTTTAAAGTGTCCTAATATGTACAGTTTGTAAACCAAAACATGTCTACTGTAATGTTTGAAGAACGACAGACAAAAGATGCTCTGTCTCAACATTTAATCAGAACAGCTGTATCACAGGCGCAGCAGCCTAACTAACTCTCTTGTCTCTATTAACCCTATAACTGCCGGTGCAGCAAAATAAACAGCAATTTGACAATGATTATAAAGTCTGTGTGCACTCAAAAATATTTTGAGCACTCAATTGAAAATGTACCCATAACGTATCAATCGTACTTACAGGTTGTGGTTAGGAGAGCTTGTTAGTCCAAATTAAGAAGATTAGAAGCCAACGAAGATTATTCAGTAATATCGTGCTTTACCTGGAAACCTAAAGCTGCACTAGGCATACATCACATATTAACTTGATATTTTGAGCACTCAATTGAAAATGTACCCATAACGTATCAATCGTACTTACAGGTTGTGGTTCGGAGAGCTTGTTAGTTCAAATAAAGAAGATTAGAAACCGACGAAGATAAAAGCCAAGATTAGAGAAGCAGTCCTTGGTAAAATGACGAGCACACAACAAAAGGTTCAAATTGTATTTCTGTGGTATCCTTGAACACAGCATCTTCTCAACATGATGTAAACACACTAACTAGTCTAGCGGAAGTGTTTGTGGGCAGGTCAGACTCTGTTCATATTTCGCGGGCAGGCGGGGATTATGCAAATGTGTTACCCAGTGACGTATACCGGTAACCAGCAAAAGATTCGAAAATATGATGACTCGTTAAGGCGATTCAGAATCGACTCTCTCTTTTGAGA